AATCTTTATTTTATTTTATTTTTTTTAAATAAGATTTTACTTGTCGCCCAGGATGGAGTGCAGTGGTGTGATCTTGGCTCACTGCAGCCTCGAATTCCCAGGTTTAAGTAATCCTTCTGCCTCAGCTCCCTAAGTAGCTAGAATGACAGGCACATGCCACCATGCCCAGCTAATTTTTTCTTGTGAGGGACAGGGTTTCACCATGTTGCCCAGGCTGGTCTCAAACTCCTAAAACTCAAGTGATGCACCTGTCTTGGCTTCCTAAAGGGAAATTTTTGAGTACTGCTATTCAGCAGGGAAAATTCTTTATCCTTCTCTACTAACATGGTTTTTTAAACCAGTGACCCCTCAAAGCATCTTAAATCACATATTATTTAAAGCTTAAACAATTTGTAAGGTCTCTTTCAGCTATAAGATCCTATAACTCTAAAAGTATGACTTTCCTATAATGTTACGTAGGGTAAGAGACAAATTTAATCTATAATATAGAAAACTTAAACCTAAAAGAATATTAAGCTCAATTTGATAATCATCAAACATTTATTACTACTAAGAGTCAGCCTAAATGCATGAGATGGCATTCTAGGTCATCTCATGAATTCAAAAAATTTGACCACACCACTTCTTTAAGGTAAATAACTTGATGCATTTGAGAAATTATGAACCCTGCTTCCATACATCATTATGCTACACAGTCTGCATATCATTTTACAAACAAGTTTTAAAATTTCATGTCATATTTGGTAACATACCAAAGACCACAATCATTTGGCAAGTAAAACTGCCACCAATGTTAGTCTTTAGCTGGTCCCAGCATGAGATGTTCATGCAAACCAGTCAATACATGAAGGTTTTCATAACCTTCAGTCCCAAAGTCTAAAGAATTTGTGAACCAACTTTTTTAAACTGCATGGCAGAAACCTCTCAACTGCACTACTCTGAATGATACAGACATCCTGCTTCTTCTCAATTACCTTCTGACTATTTACTGCTCATCAGTACTTCTGAGAGTGGCAGAAGAAATAATATAGGAAAAAAGGATCAATGGTGCTATCTGTTATCACCTTTAATTTTTAAAGCAATGTTTACAGAGTTTCAAATAAGATTTCTGATTTGAGAATTCAAATTATCCATGCTCTCCCAGTCTGTTACAAAGCTAAAATAAGAATTTGTTTTACCAAGATTTGGGCCCTATATTTGTTCATGAGATATTAAGGGGAGAAAAGGGAATGATGTAATTCTGACAAAAACAGTGGAGATTCTTTTGGGACTTTCAAAGCGTAACTCTTACTAAAACGTTCATTTATTATACAAACAGGAGCCTTCAGAGGGAGAAGAATTCTAAACATCTAAATAATCAGGTATACTTAAAGGCACGTGGCATATATTAGCCTAGGAAAAAGCAGAAGAAAACCACACCAAAAAAAAAAAAAAGTTAGTTACTTGAATGGACGTGTACCAAGTAACTAGTAAACTTACTAGAAAGATGGTCACTGATATAGCTAAAGAGAAAGGGCCATAAAGCAAACTGTGACCAGCTTATGTCAATGAGATACATGAAAGTACTTTTAAAAAATAAAATCTGCATTTCTTTTTTTTACTGAAAATGTGACTAGCTGGTATCTTGGTTTTGGTAGTGCAATAGCACCATTACAGCAAGGGTAAGCAGGTCAATCCCTTGCAAAACTTACCTTGATTGGCCCAATGGAAACAGAAGGCCCCAGAAAAGAGAGAAGCATCTGGCAGTAGCAAATTGTTTTATTTTATCTTTCTGTGGAAAGAAACTAATTTTAAATAAGAACCAGAGCATTTAAAGAATAAATATTTTTAAAGCTCATTATCTAGTTAGAGCAGCTCTACCAAGAAAACAAGAAGAGCTCCTTGCTGCTTAGAGATGGAAAGAAACAGAAGAGGAATCAAAGTTGTTTCTCCATCACCTAGAGAGTTTTAAAATTTGTGTTATTCTAGAGTAACAGAATAAAAGGTTCTTTTAGTTAAAGAACTCCTGCAGGCAGAATCTTTTGGGGCTGGTGCCTTAGAACAATTTTTTTTTTTTTTTTTTTAAACAAAATTAAGGGCAATATTCCAAATAAAAAAAAAAAAGGAAATCACTTGACATTAAGCCCTTCTACTCTTAAGGTTAAGTAAAAAGAGACAGACACATAGCAAGCTCCTTTTCCTGCTGCAATTTCACCAATAACTTTAACCATGAAAGCTTAAACAATTATCAAACAATATTAATTAGCAGAAGATCACATGAAATTGGCTTCCAAAATATTTTCTTAAGACTAAATTTTTGATGATTTATGGAAATACTCAAATGGAAATAACCCAGCTACCAAAAGATTATAGAATTTAACATGGAGCACAAAATTACTCATGGTAACTGAACTTGTTACCTTTCTTGGATGCTTCTCTAGAAACTCAGTTCTACCGAAATCACTAAATCAGCGTTGAAACCTTCTGATCCAAATCACTCCTACAAAATGTCCATTTACAATTTATGCTAGAGATGAAAGGGACAGCTCAAAAGCAGGAGTGTACAAGCAATAAGCATTAAAAAAAATAGTGCAAGTGGAAATGAACTACCTATTTGGCACTGTCCTATGAACAATCAGAACTATAGAGCACAAACTCCCTACCCTTCCTCAGCCTCCTCCAGCACAGAAAGAGGAAGATATTTCAGGAATAAAATCCCCTCTAAGCCAAAGGCCTAAACAATTGCTATTTTCAGATTCTCTTTATTTACATGGTCCACCGAAATCAGTTATGTTGCTCTATCAGATATTATTTACTCTTAGAACATTAACTTCAACTGGCATGCTTGAAAAAATAATCATTAAAAAATAAAAGCCTGGATGCACACTGTTACTTTTAAATAATAAAGAAAAAAATTCTTTTCTTGAGGCCATCAGTAAATTTCTCAGATTTTTTTCATTACATTCAAATTTCCGTTAGTCATGATTCAACATTTGGCTTATTTGAAATTATTCGGGCATAAACTAATTCTTAACTCTAAGTATTGACCTAGATTTCGAAATCTTGACAGAATATCTGAGACAAAAACAAATAAATAAGTGCAAAATAAAACAAAAACATTCTTACTTGTCCCATTGGTGGCCCTCCCATAGGGGGCATCATCTGCGGCATCATTCCGTGAGGTACAGGAGGCATATTTGCTCTCTGACTCATAGGGTGCATTCCCATTGGGGCATAATGCATGCCAGGGTGCCCCATCTGAAAAACAGTGAACATTTTTAAATTAGCAAGTAACACTAAATGCTTCTCAAAAATCTCATTTCAACAAATCAGTTATCTGCGACAATATTAACCTTATGTGTAATCACATAATTGGATCAGTCTATACTTTAAACAAAATGCATTCTGCTGGCATTTAAAACGAGCTTGCAAATTCCATAACAAAACAGAAAAAGTTAAGATGATTACTGGACAGCTGCATCATAGATTTTCTATTTTTTACTTTTTAAGCATTGACAATCAGGTACTAATTGGCTTACTATGATTGGAAGATATATATTAAATGCTAATTTTAAAACTGTTTTGGTGAAAACAACACTCTTCTGTTTCATGCAGATATACAAGATAGCCAGCTATTGTTATTTTGTAACACTACTGATTTTAAACTTTAAAATGCTCTATCAAGTTAACTCTGGTGAGAGCCGGTCTTATAAAACACAAACAGTAAGGGTACCCGGGGTCAATTCACGCCTAAGAAACTTATTTTCTAACATAACCTTTAAAACAGTTAAAATTCTTCTGCCAAAAATACATTTTAAAAGACTAAGGTTCTGTCACTCACGGACGCTAAATGCAAATAACTAATTCATCTATTTTAACGCACTTTAAAAAGACAACTACGTTCTTTACCGATGAATCCATTGTTCCATGTTTTAAATTAAAACCAGGTAATTAACTCTTGCCAATTGTCCCAAGAGTTCCCCCTGCAGACCACTACCTCGACTAATGAAAACAAATTTTGGCAGTCGCTGTTAAAGTCTTAGAGAATCAAGTCCCTGCTCCCCCTCCCAGCTAAATCCGGCCTAAAGCTCCAAGACGCTCACCCCGCCCAAGAACTAGCACCTTCACCACGCATCTGTTTAGGCCAAGCCCACGGGGAACTTCTAGGGTCTCCCATCCTTCTCTTTGTGTAACCCCACTCTCCAATTCTCTCCCTCAGAACATATCCCACCATCTCGAGTTCTTCCTTCGTCCACTCTTATCTTCTCCTTTCGGAGAAAGCTTCCTGTTTCTCCCATTTCGTTTCTCATTGTGCCGCCTACCCACTGCCCCACTGATCCCTTACCGAGGGCCGTCTCCTCAGGAAGCCGTCAGCAGAGACCCAAGAGCCGGAGCAGAGGCTGGAGCCGGACAATCTCCGCTCCCCGTCCCCAGGACCCTGCGAGGGAGGATGGCTCTCCATTTCACTCACCATGAGGCCTCCACGCTCAGCTCCCGTCCCTGGCCTCATCGTCGGGCTCAGACTGCTCTGCCGGCGGCCACTGCCGCTACACATACCAACAAGAAGCGATCTGAGTGGCTGGCGCCCGCTGGGGCTAAAGGTTAAAGGCTGCCCTGCGCTACGGGGCGGGACCAGCGGGGCCAACAGGCTGACAGGCTTCGCCGAGGTCCAATCAGAATGCGCCGCCGACACGCAGCTCTGCGGCGATTCGCCCCCAGCCTCAGCCTCACTCGGCGTCGCCTGCATGGAGTGGGGAGGAGGACGGAAGTTTCTGCGCCTAGTCCTCCGTCGGGAAAACTCTACCAACTTCAACAGGGGGGAAGGGAAGACAACCGAATCCCAGCTTCCCGAGCTTAGACCGCCTCACCCCGTAGTGGGTGGGGCAGTGGGGGCCTGCCACCTTCACCCTCCCCGCCCGAGTTACGTACGCCCCACAAACCTGAGACCGCCAGGAGCAGGGTGGAAGGGGCGGGGGTAAGCAGCCCCTAGCGTTAGCGGCGGCGGGGGCCGAAGGTGCGCGCGCTGCGCTCGAGGCGGAGGGGAGGGGGCGGGGAAGGTGAGAGGTGGAGTTCCGAGACGAGAGTTCGAGCTCCTTACGCACCTGGTGGAGAGTGCGCTGGGGCTAGGGGGAAGGAGGCGTGTCGAGCAGCGTGAGGGAAGTTGTGGTACGGTTGGGGAGAACCACACTAAAGGGAGGTAGGGGTGAGTAACTAAGGCACCGCGAGAGCGCGGGACAGAGAGCTGCCTTCAATTGGGGAACCTAGAGAAAGAGTGTGAGCATAGCAGGGAAGAAGGAAGAGAGCAAATAGGTTCGCGAATGTGTGTCAGAGGTTGCGAAAAGGCGCTAGGACCCGGCGTTGGAAAGATGCGGCTTTGGGCTGTCGGGGCGCGGGCTCCAGTCGGTGACGCGGCTGTGGCGGAGGTCTCCGGCCGGGACGAAGCGCTGCAGGGAGTCGAGACTTGACTGCCTTTGGCCTCCGCTCACTTCTCCCTGCGCGCTTTCCTGCTCCCCCTTCCGGCTACAGCTCTGGGGTCGAGCTCTGGCCCAGGAGCATTCCGACTGTATTCCGGCCCCACGGCTTCCTTTGCGCCCCGCCGCTCACCCTTGCTTGCCGCGGTCCACCCCTGGGCTTCGAGACCTGGTGGTGGCGGCCAGGGCGACACCCGGCCGCGGATTGGCTGCTGCGGACACTGGGCGGGGCGGATGTGAGAGGCTCGTTCTCCGCGGGTTTCGCGGTCTTTTGCGCCATGTCGTTTGTGGAGAGCGGGTTGCGGTCGGCTCTGCGCCGCCGCGGTCCCGGCACCCCGGCCCCTTTGGCTCGGCCGAAGTATTCCTCCTTTACTCAGGGGGACAGTTGGGGTGAAGGCGAAGTCGACGAGGAGGGATGCGACCGAGTGGCCCGCGACCTGCGGGCGGAGTTCTCGGCTGGGGCGTGGTCAGAGCCGAGAAAGGGCTCGCTACTCCCGCCGACCGCGGACCGGTCGCCCGTTCTGCCCGATAAACGCAATGGTATCTTTCCGGCGGCTGCGGGCAACAGAGCCCAGCCTCGGCGGTGGCCGGTCCAGGTCCTTTCTATTTTCTGCTCGCTGCTCTTCGCCATCCTTCTCGCCCTCCTCCTCGCGATCGCCTACTTGATCGTTAAAGGTATTAAAGCCGAGGCCTTGAAAGTCTGTCCCGAGTAAAGTTGAGCCAGGGTGTGGCTCTCGCCTGCCCCCATCTCCCTTTCCCTCGCGCTGCCGAAGCCCGCAGGCTGACAGCTGCTTTCACCCATCCTTATTTGCATCTTTCTTTGCTCTCCAGCCCTTTGCCTTTTCTAATTAGAAAGTCCTGATCCATGATCAGGAGACCCATTTTTAAAAAGGATCTTTTGATTCAATGGATACTCTTGAAGAAATATCTTCGAGTCCTTGAACATGGGGGATGAAATATTGGCAAAACTAAAACGCGAAACACCCACCATTAAAAGGAGACTATGAAAAGTGCATATAATTAAAATAGGCTATATATGTTCAGTGGCCTTCATCCACAAATAAAGATGTGCTATCCACCAATTCTGCTATACATAGAATCCTGAGGGACAAAGATTTCCATCGCATAGTCCAAGTTTCTACTTTTGTAGGTTAAAAAATTAGCCTCTCTTAGCATTTAAGTTTGAATACAGGTGTAGTGCACAGAGCTCTATTGCGGGAAGTGTAGTCCACTCTTCCTCTAATTATTTTTCTGTCTGAAGTTGAAATATTGGTCAGTTGAAAGTTTATTCCAAGGCATACGGATGTATAATTTAGTTGTCCAGTGTATACTGCAGCAGAAAGAAGCAAATTTAAGTTTAAATTTCCATTCTCACTAGTTTATGACCTTTGCCAAGTTACTGAAAAAAAAAAACCAAAAGAGTTTTGTTGTATGAAAAGCACTCAAAACATTGTCACTGAAGTGTTACCTTTGTACTTCATTAATTAACATTAAATCTATTTAACTCCAGTTTTTATTTGTCCTCATTGCTTCCCAGCTTTTAGCGGGCTGCAGATGGCATGGGTCTAAAACCTTTTACCTCTTCATAAAATGCTAAACTGTGAATGTTCATAAAATGTAAACTGTCAGTCTTAAATGATTGGCTGCCAGGGTTTCATTTCTTTTGTCATTCCTGTCCCCCACCCTTTTTTCCCTTTTTTGCAATCCTGATAGTTTTGTCTCCTGGGTGGCTTATTTCTTTTTTGCTCAGACATTGCCTTTGTGTCATAAAGCCACAAAACCATAAGTGAAATTCAATTGCACATTGAACTGTGTTTATTTTGAAGAATGGAGAAAGGAACTGAAGTCGACCTAGTATGCTTTTTAGTCTTCACAACAACCCTAGGGAATAAACAGTACTCCCATTTCATGTACAGTACATGGCTGTTGGCTCCTTTAGTGGTCAACACTTCACTTGTTTGCTGAAGGTCACATAGCTAGTAAATTGAATCAGACTTTGAGCCCAGTTCTTAACTGACTTCAGAGCACTTTCCACAGCTCTACAATGCCTTCACAGCCCTTGAGTTAGTTTTCAAATTATATTACTTTCCTACCTAAGCCCCTCTTTGTATTTACAGAGTTGCATGCTGAGAATGTGAAAAATGAAGATGATGTAGACACTGGGCTATTAGGTATGGACTTAATTGTCACTTCCTTTGGTTTTGAGTTCACTTTTGTGTTTCCAGATCATGTTTGAACTAAATTTGGGTTAAAATACTTAATATATTTCTATGTGCAGTCATTCAGTATTATGTTTTTCATTTGCATATGTTTGTGAAAAATGTATTAGATTTCCTTTATATATATGTGGAGTATGTTTATACATATATGGTATATTTGCTGTAATTTTTTAATGGGGCCAGGTGCAGTGGCTCACATGTATAATCCCAACACTTTCATGTATAATCCCAACACTTTGGGAAGCTGAGGCTGTAGAATCACTTGAGCCCAGGAGTTCAAGACCAGTCTGGGCAACATAGTGTGACCCTGTCTCTATAAAAAGTAAAACAAAATTAGCCAGGTGTGGTTTTACTAGTGCCTGTAATCCCTGCTTGGGAGGCTGACGTGGGAGGATAACTTAAGCTGGGAAGTTCAAGGCTGCAATGCACCATGATTGTTAAACTGCACTCCAACCTGGGCCACAGAGTGAGACCCTGTCTCAAAAAAGCAATATAGTTTTTTCTTTTTTTGTTTTTGTCTTAATAATAATTTTTTAATGGGTACTGGTGTGTGTATATACCACACACACTAGTAATACATTTAAAACACTACTGCATGTGACTCGGGTCCAGAGAATATTTAACGTTTCCTGATTACCTTCTGGAAGAGGTTTACCACAACTCTTCTCTGGAATTTAAAAACAAAAGAACTTCCTCCCTATCTTAGCAAAGGTAAATAATGTCTTAAGTAGGTGTTAGGAGGAATTTAAGTTCAAATCTTTATGTGCAGCATTTTTTTTTTTAACAGCATTGACTATCATTGCACAAGTTAATGACTAGGAGAGTCAGACCTCAGTTTCTACAGTGTCTGTTGAATGCTATATAGTTCACGGGTTTCCAGTGAAAAAGATTATTCTATATTTCTCTTCACCAAAATGATTTTGGAGAGTTAAAAACTTTACCTGTCCAGCATGTTTTAGTTCTTTTTGCTATAATTTATTTGATTTGATCACTCTAAATTGGGGAAGGGAGATAAAACTTAATCATTCTATATTTGATCGGATGAATCAAATAAGTCATTTGATGTGATCACTTTAAATGATTTGATTTGATCAGTGTAGATAGATGGTTCAGTTACTATCATACATGTCCTCCCCTCTCCCAATCTTTGCTAAACTCTCTAACCTACCACTTTATGGCTATTTACCCATATGGTGATACAGGCAGAAGGTGAAATATGAACGCTTTATCTTCAAATTACAAAGAAGTTGGTTTTCTAGATATTGGATGGAAACTTGTCTATTCTTGTCACCTTCTTGCATGAGAAAACATGGTTTTTAGTTACTCATTTTATCAGTGTACATTTTACATTGCTTTATTTCTAGAAATAAGCCAAGAGTATTAGGCTTTCCATAGCTTTTATTGATCTGTCATCTCTTGATATAGTGGAAACAATCTTTCAAACTAGTCATGAATTCTAACCTTTTGCTGTTTAAAAGTTGTCATGGTTTTTCATTTAGGAATAGAATGAGTGGCAATTGTTATCTAAAGGAATGGCTTGCTCAGTGTCAAAAGGAATGTGATAGATCTTTTGACATGATCTTGCTTCCTTTTCCACTTAGGGTTAAGTAATCCCATATTGCTTTTAGCTATGCATGATATTTACTTAATATTTTTACAGCATATAGGAAAATCATTAAGATTTTGCTAATGGCATGAATTTACTATCAAGAGTCAGAAATAAGCAAAAAGTGTTGCGTCTTTATGGTGGGGGGAAAAAAAAACCCAACAACTATGCCAAAACAAAGCTCATTGTTTTGAGCCAATACACTAGTGGTCAGATGGAGAATAAAAGTAGTAACTATCATTTAATGGGCTAATTCAATCAGTTTCCTGGAGGTTAATTTTAAAGAAAGAATAGTTACAGCAAATATATGTATTATAACTTGGATAGAGAGTAGTCTTCTCTACCAGAAGAGGATTCTTAAAAATCTGTTTCAGTGAAACAGCACCAAGGTGATTAAGTACTTATTAGATTGAGGTGATTGGTGCCCTGGTCCACACCTGTAATCTCAGCACTTTGGGAGGCTGAGGTGGGAGGATCACTTGAGATTAGGAGTTCAAGACCATCCTGGACAACATGGTGAAACCCGTCTCTACTAAACATACAAAAAAAAAAAAACTAGCCGGGCATGGTGGCACAGGCTTGTAATCCCAGCTCCTCTGGAGACTGAAGCAGGAGAATCACTTGAACTGGGGAAGCAGAGGTTACAGTGAGCCAAGATTTCGCCTCTGCATTCCAGCCTGGGTGACAGAATGAGACTCTGTCTCAAAGCAAAACAGAAGAAAAGATGGAGGTGATTGTGGTAACACCTGCTCTTTTCTTCTAAGCTGCAATTCTCTACTGTTTTCAAGAAAAATACAAGTTAGCCTATTTACAGAATGTTTTGAATTTGACTGCTTACCTATGATGACAACTCCTCTTGAGATAATTGATAGCTGAAAAGGTAGGATGGTTCTCTCAAACTTGATTTCCATCTAAATCAACACTGAGTCGATTAACTTAGATATCAAGAAAAATTGCTTCATTCATTAGTTTACTTCTAGGAGATGCCTATGAAGTTATATCCTTTCTGGAGTTGATAAAAAAGTTTTCACCTGAAGAAACAATTTGAAATATTTAATTTAAAAATGTTGAAGTCATCCATTATGTTTGAGAAAAGTATCAGGCAGCTTTTGGTCAGATGATAATGATTTTATTATATTTCACTATTTCACACTGTTTATTAGGAACCTCATAGCCAGTTGTAGTAGTGTTTGATTGTTTTGTATATTACCCTTGATTTTTTGGCATACTTATTACTGCCCATACATGCTGTTATCTTAATATTTCCATGACTCATATTTAAAATTTACTACAAATTGCCTCAATTCTTTGTTTGAAAGTAAGTTGATTTTTATAAAAAATAAATGTGAACAAAGTGACTGCTCTACCATGAAAGAGTAGTTCTCTCTGGACAAACTGGTAAAAATTTAGTACACTGCATAATTTTTATTACAATTTAATCCTAGTCCAAGTTTGGCATAGCACTCAGTAAGAACAGATTATAACAACAATTCTCATTCTGGTATGGGTAACAATCACTTGGGGACTTGCTTTCTAAAAAGCATCTGTAGATTTTGTTTCAGCCATCATGATTTCATGGTACAGAACATTAGAGTGTTAAAAAATGTCCAAGAGAAAGGATGTATTGGAGGTGGCCCATCCTCTTAAAAAGATACAGGTTGAGTAAAACTCAGTTTCATCCTTACAATGACGATTGAAACTCTGAACTTGAACTTTTCAGCCAGTGTGTCCACTTTATAATTTGAACCTATCATCTGATAAGGAAATGTTACAGTGCCATCTACAGCTGGGTGAGGTAGCTCTAATATCTAAAAAGTCACCAATATCCTGTTCTGTAGCACAATTTTTGTAAAATTGTATCATCTATTTGTATTATTGAAAGAATGATTACTAAGGAAAAGAGAGAAACAAAAGCCTAAAAGAACTGGAAGAATATAATCAAAATGTTAGTTTATCTGGGTTTCTGAATTGATTGGTTGTTTCTATTTTTATTTTCTGCAATGTATAAGTGTAACTTGCAATGAGAAACATTTTGTTTAAGGGAAAGCACAAATTTAAGTTTACTGAATAGTATGTTTCAATAATTAACAATAACACCCTTTATTGCACTTTTACAATATGCCAAAAACCATTATTTTTTTGTGTGTTATTTCCTCAGGGTAGTATTCTCAACTACCCTGTATCCATCAATGTTATTTTCTTCTAAACCAAAACTCAAGAAAGTCCGTATTACAATTTTTATACCATAGACAGTCTAGGTAGTATAGCAAGACAGAAAAAGAATGGGTTATTAGCAAGAATTAGTCATGTGCAGCTAAATTATTAGTCATGAAATCATTATAGGACTACTTAACTATAGAAGCAGTAATAAGCACCAGACATTAGGACTCCTAAATCTCAGAAATTGGTTTAACATTGTGTGGTACTCCCTGGTCCAAGTTTGGTGGTTGGGAGGGACCTTTCTTAGGCTAATGAAGTCAAAAGTTAGCTGGCATCAGAATCACCTGAAAGATAAATTTTGCTGCTCTTCAGATGGCACAGGATATCTGATTCAGTAGTGTGAGATGCAGCCCAAGAATTTACGTTTCTGAGAAGTGTCTAGTTGATGCTGATGCGGTTAGTTAGGGGGCTATATATACTTTGAGAACTCCTAGCCTAGTAGTTCCCAAACCTGACGTAAAAAAAGACCCTGGAGATTTTCTTTTTTTGCTTTTACAGAATCTCAGACCTTATAATTATCTACTGAATCAAGTCACTTAATTGGCTGTATGTGTTAGTGTATACTGTACGGTTGGTTCATTGGACAATTTTTCATTTCTGAATTATTTTGAGCAGTTCCGTTGGTAAGGATTGAAATTTCATGACTTATTCTTCAAAAGAATAAAGAAAACTGAGCTGTATTTCTCATAAAGTTTATTTGATCTTCAAATTACCATATTGGTTTTTTGGTCACTTATAAATTTAAAATATGTTTTGGGATTTTAGTGTTCATATATTGTTCTATCTCAATACATTTTCCCATTTCATTATTTTAGGAATTATTGCAGTATTACTCATCAATTCTCAACTATGCTGAAAAGAATAAAATAATTATGATGGAATTAGGATTCCAGTAAGACTTTCCTAAGTCTTACGGTAGCACAGCCTGTTTCTTAATTCTTACTGTAGCACCACCTTGCCTATTGCTGTATCTGTTATCTATGATTACTTTAACTCTGCAACAGCATAGTTGTGTAGTTATGACAAAGAACTATGTCTTGCAAAGCCGAAAATATTTACTATTTGGCTCTTTTCACAACATAGTACTCTCATCCAGTCAGTCATTCAGTGGAAAGGACTTCAGGCA